TCTTGGTAAATTTCATAGGTAATCTTTTCTTTTCTTAGATAAGCTTCAAGTGTTTGAGTATCATTTATTTTGAAAATATAAGGAGCAATTTTTTCACCTTGTTCCTTTTTTAAAATACTTCTAATGGTGCTGTAATTCTTAGGTTCCATGATGGATTTAATGTAAATTAGTTTCATATTAACTATTTTTGTATAGGGATAGTTCTATATATCACTTAAGATAACAAATGGGATATTATAAAACTAATGTGATAATAATAACTAAATTTTGATCCCTGAAATTTTTGGTAATACCAATGTTCACTTTGTCTGGTTTTGTTGCAGTATGCCCCATATGTGATAGAAGCCACCAGCAATTGCGCATTCATAAAAGGTATGCTGTTCAATTCATTTATGCGATTGTTTCTATGAATAGCAAGGCAAGTCAAATATATAAAACAGTCATAATTTTTATCAGAAGAATCTAGGTCACCATTTATCAGTAAAATAACATTGAAGAAGTTCTTTGTATATATCTTTATCAAAACCTTTTTATATGGATTTATTTTTATAATAAATATATTTTTTAAGAAAGAAAAAAATTATATTTTCTTGTCAAAATTTATCCATATCAAATTTCATTTCTTTAAAGAGAGATGGAATAAATAAAAAAAAATGTTATTAAATAAATTCATAGTTTTTTGCATATTTTATTTTATTGAATACAATTAGTATTTCAGATATCAATTTATTCAAGGATATTTGAATATATATAATTTATTTCATAATTATTTTTTGACTCGCCTGCAAAATCTTTTAATAATAAAGTAATTTCTTCTATGCCTAATGATACCATTAAATTTAAACCATATGTGGTAAACAATAAGAGTGCTCTTATCAATAAATCAACGGTATTCATCATTGAGAATAAGTACCAGCGAGGTTAATAGCAATGATTTGAATCAAATAAATGCTTCGCAATTACTTGTATGGTAGTGTGGTTCGTGGTGTTACAATTCCAAGGTTTGGGAGTGAATAGTAGTGATTGTATTTATCGCCGGCATTTGGGAATTTCTTCTACATCAGTATCTAACGAAAGGCTTCTTTCTGATGTGAACAATTACATTACTCCAAAAAGAAATAAATAGGTTAGATCCTAAAGTTGTATATAGAAGATGTTGATTTCTTGAAAGAAACATGTATTTTTCCCGAATTTTAATAATATGATATTAATATTTCAACAATAGTGTGTAATAACAAAAATATAAACAATTCAAACTCTATTATTGTTATATAAAGTGATATAATAATAATAACATTTTTCAAATTCGAATATTAAATTTTTAATGCTAATGAAGATAGAATTGGGTATTCAGTTTTTTTATCTTCCGCCAATGAAATGGATTGATTGAACTTTTGCTTCTTTTCTATCATTTGAAGGGGAGACAGGCATTCATTTTACCGACAACTCAGGGTTACATTTAACCTCCACATAATCAAACAACTAATAAAATGCTAAAATGGCGCTCCATGTGTTGTCGGTAATAGTAAAGCAATGCGTACCCTATTTGAAGAGCCAGAGTTTTGTGACATTTGATTCGTAAGGAAGTTCGAAAGAAAAGAAGATGATGATAAATTATTATTTAGTTGAAGTTGTTGTTACCGAAATAATAATAATGATGAGAAATTTCCGGATACATTCCTTTTGGTATTAATTAGTATGACAATACTTTTTAATTTTTTGTCGTGAATTGGTAATTTTTCTTGAATAACGTGTAGTAACATATTAAATATAATTTTTGATGTGTGGTGCCAGTGATACTGAAAGATTGTTTTACCAAACCATTACGCTTGTATCTACATTATTCAGCTGATATAACTTTTTTGACAGTCGAGGAAGAATGATAAGATAAGGTTCACTTGAATCAATGTCTTTGCTTGATAAATCGCGAGAGTTATTATTATTATCACGAGAACTAGATGATTCTAATTCTTTATAGGTTAAGAAACTTCCATTGATTCTACTTGCAGACCAACTTTACCATCAGTCCAACATCTCATACCAGTTTCTCTTTCACCCCAAACAAATAGAAGAATATTTTTTGCTGCATAACCTTCGTTGTATACGAGATAAAAACCAATACGACAAGTTTCGAAAAGCAAAAATACCATCTTGAGGTGATTTTACGTAATTGAAATAAGTTTCTATTTTTTAATGCTATTTTTAAAAGATTTTTTAAATAAGAATATGAGGGTGAATTTTGCTTATATAAAATAAGAATAGAGAGATGACTAAAGGAATTAATTGTTGCTTTTGATATCATTTCGGAGGAAGATTTATTTTTAAATTTAGATCAGCAGATTTGCGACTAATCTTAATGATCTTTACTATGAATATGTCACGCACGTCACGTAAAAAACCTCCTTAATTTTTTTCTCTCGTTTATCAATTATTAACTATGAGAAATTTCAATTATTCTTTAAACTTTTTGTTTGAAATTTACATCATTACGATAATAGTTTTCTTTACACTTATTCCAACTGTAATTTCGCAACAACAAGAAGCTCCATATTTCGACCCAAGCATTCAATCATGTGTAGAATGTCAAAAAAATTATTCTACAATAGACTCATGTACAAAATCAAATGAAATATTCAAAAATTTCACTAGTGTCTTATACGATCCTCTAGGATTTATTGAAGCTGCAAAGTGTGCGTGTCTTGATACATTTCTAAAAGTTTATCCATTATGTGTGGAATGTTTTCAGGCTACAAATCAACAGAATACCACATTGAATGCTGATGGGATACCACCTTCGATTGATTATATTAGAAATGCTTGTGCAGCTGTTGCTTCCATCACAAGCAATTCCAGTACAACTATTGTTGCTTATCCCTCGACCACTACTGGGCCTTTTGGTTATCAACCAAAAAGTGGAGTGAAAGATATTGTTGTTAATGTTGGCAGTAATGGGTTATGGATTAACACTTTTATTATATTTATTACTGTTATAACATTAATATTACAAAATGGCTACATATAAAGGAAAACGAAAAAAAAAACAATCCATCCATTTAATTAATTTACTATCTTCCAATATATCATCATCTACTTGTATTTATTTATCTAATTTATCTAATTTATGTAATTTTAAATAATAATAAAACAATTTCTTTCAGCATGAGTGTTTTTTTAATACGAGTCATACAATAACTATATATATATTGTAGAATCCATGTCTATTATTAAAGATTTTTATATTTGTTTATTGAATAATGTTTTTTGATAAAGATGACTTTCAAACCCAGTATCATTCTTATATATATTCTAAATGCTTCTCTTAAATGTAACCCTTTTTGTTTTTTACATCTAACATAATAAAAATATTAATAATTTTATTTCCTCATTTTTTCATATACCTTTTTCAACAATTTCTCCAAAAAATAAATTGGTAAAACCTGCAACAACAATTCCCATATTATGAGAACAAGGTTGGCCTAAAATTTGACTTGTCAACTAAATATATATACAAAATAAATTATTATGTTCATTATTACAACTATTAATTATGTGTGTGTGCATATATATTACCTTCTAACATTAGGTTTACTTAGAGCAGATCTTCTATAAACTTAATATCTTTTAAGTTGATCTTCTGAAAAATTGTCCAATAATAATTTAAAAAGAAAGGAAAAAAAAAACAATTAGTAATTAATTAATAAATTAATAAATGATTAATCGATTATGATCTTAATTCTTCTTTCGTTCTTGCCAATCAAATTCACCTGCTGTCTTAACTTTGATATATTCTTCCGCATCGTCGTCTTCTTCCTCAGCTTTATTAACGTTTTGGTATTGGCGTGGGAGTAAACGGTGTAAGAGGCGTTGCTATGGTTGGAGATTTCAAAGCTTCAAAGATCAGTAAAAACTGATCTATGAAATAACGAGATATCACTTTGTTACACGGATTCGAATTTTTAGTTATCACATACTAATGTGAGATGTCACATGCTAATATGAATTATGAATTCTAATTTATTTGCTTTTGGATCTAATGGTAATGGTCAACTAGGTATAGGAAATTTTTTAGATTGCAATGTTCCAACAACTTGTAAATTTTCAAAAAAGATTTTCCAAGATAATTACAACATTCCCGCACCAAAAGTAATTTCTGGCGGTGGTAATCATTCTGCTTTGATAACTTATAATGGTGAATTATGGATGACAGGCTCAGATATCGATGGTCAATGTGGCAATATCATCATCAATGATGAAAATAATAGTGATCATAATAACAGTAACAATAATGTAGAAGACAAAAAACTATCAAAGAAAGGAAATCAATGCTATAATTGTTTTCATCAAGTTCTAACAGATAAAAAATGGAAGTTTGTTGCATGCGGATGGGCATTTACTATTTTAGTCGAAGAAAATGGTAATGTATATTCTTTCGGTAAAGGATTATTTGGCGAGTTAGGATGTGGTGAAAACAATATTATTATTAACAAATCAAAAAAAGTAGAATCTATTTCATATATAGAAAAGGTTGTATGTGGTTTACGACATTGTATTGCATTGACAAAAGATGGTAGTTGTTATGGATGGGGTAGTAATAAGTTTGGGCAGTTAGGATTAGGAAATGATTCTGAAGAAATTTCACAACAACTAGGAAAAAAACAGCCTAATACTTATTATAGCCCTAAAAACATAGTAATTTTCAATGATTGTTATAATTATGATAACAATGGTTTGTTTATAATAGATGTTGCATGTGGGCAAAACCATACCGCTGTTTTAACATCTAAAGGTGAGATTTATACATTTGGACTTAACAAGTATGGACAATTAGGATACGCATCACCATTAAGCATTCGAAATTGTGAGATTCCAAGAAAAGTGGTTGGTATTGATAAAGTTATTGAAATATCATGTGGATGGAATACAACAATGGCACTGATAGATTGTGATGATAATAATGATAATAATAATAAATTGGTGATGTGGGGTAGAAATGACCATGGACAATTAGGAACAATTAATCCACCACCGTCGCCATTATCATCTTCTGGATGGTTATATCAGCCAATACCATTATGTTACCTTCCAAAATCATCGCCAATATTACCAAAAGGTTTTAAGGTAAAAACTATCGAGTGTGGATCAGAACATTCGTTGGTGTTATCGATTGATGGTCAATGTATTTCTTGGGGATGGAATGAACATGGTAATTGTGGTGTAGGAAATAACAATGATCAATGGAGCCCGGTAAAATTGATTAAATTCAACAAAGATGAATTTTTGGTAGAACAGATTGGTTCAGGATGTGGGAATTCTTGGATATGGGCCAAAAAGAAAGATATCAAATGATATATTTACTAACTTTTTTTTTTGGAAAAATTTGATGCGTTGATAAATAGACGTACTTATTTAAATAAATATTTAAAAACTCTAATCATTTTATATATATCAATTGAAATTAAGGATTATATTTTTTTTATAATGACGATGATTATTTAATATAATGAAAATGAAGTAATATATATATATATTTAAAAATATATATGTGTGTGTGGTATATACAATATGTATATATATGTGTGTGTGGTCCAAGAAAAAATGAAAAAATAAATGAAATACAAAATATTTAAATATTTGCAAAGAAAAAAAAAATCAAATCGTAGAGGAAAAAATATATTTATATAATATATATCGACTCTATTACTATATAATAATAATATAGTGGTAGTATTTAATATTTGATAAAAAAAATATACGATAGATAAAATAAATGTCCATATCAATACTTCAAAAACTTCAAATATAAAATACAGATGATCTCACAAGATATATATATTTTTTTTTAAAAAAAAAAATAATAATTATAATAAGTTACAATAACAAAATTTTTCAAAGAATAAAAATGTTAATTTTTATATTTTATAAATAATTAATCTACTATATCTCTTCTTTATGATAAGATTAATAATAATATTGTTTCTCTTCTCAATTATATAATATTGTTGAGTGAGTGAATGAATGAATGGTTGGTTGATGGTCGGATAGATGAACATATATAATTGATCGGAAAGATGGGGTTGTTTATCGGATGGTAGTGTTATAGATTTAACTGGATGTAAGAATGGATCAGATGGAGTAATTTGCTGATTGGAAACAGATTGCATATGTCTATAGTTATACATGTTTATAAATTGATGATTTATTTGATGGTTTTATTTCTAATTAGTTGATAGGTTTATGATAGGTTGATTGGTAGGTTGATTGATTGATACAATAGTAATATGTGTCGATTTATACAAAAGTTGATTGAATGGATTGGTTGGATTGGTTGGATTGGTTGGATTGGTTGGATTGGTTGGATTGGTTGGATTGGTTGGATTGGTTGGATGAATTTATTTATTTGATATTATATAAATATTTATTATATATATATATATGATTTTGTTTGTTTGTTTGTTTGTTTATTGGTCGATGGATTTATAAATTAACCATCAATTGAAAATCTTGTTGGCTGTTGAACCCCACTTGATTCCAAATCAACCGTAACAATTTGATGTTTCTTTTGAACTACATTATTATTATAAATTAGAAAGGAAGAAAAAATTAAATTATTATCAATCAACATCACTAATTATATTATAATATTATAATTGATTAAACTACTCACAATGATCTTCTAATCCAAAACCTAAAACAATAAAAATTAGAATTAATCATTAATTAATATTCTTTATAATAATATTTTAACATTTAATGATTATCGTAATAATAATGATAATAAACTTACCAAAATTCCTTGCTGTTAAATAAGCAACAATCATTGATAGCACAATCAGTAAAATACCCAAAATGTCCTAATAATTAAATTATTTTTATTATTATTAATGTTATTAATACTACTAGTATTATTTTAGTAATATAACAATAGTTACCAACAACAGCAATAATACTTCTTCACGTTTAATTATAACAGAAGCAAGTATGAAAATTAAATTTGAAATCATAACTATAGAAGCAATTGCATAAATAAACATTGCGACTTTATTCTCTCTTCTTACCTAAAAAAAAAAATTGAATATTAATAATGATTAATAAATTAATACTATTATATATATGATTGCTATTGATTACTTACTCCCCATAAAGCTAAACCGATTGTTGGTATTACTATTGCAACCATAATACATTGAAGTATGATTGTTCTTGTGTTGCCTTCAACATTTTCACTAAATAAAAAACTTAAAGTAAGGATTTGAAATCCCAATAGTAAAAACGTATCCAATTTAATTAATAGAAGAAAAACTAGTAATTGAAAAAAAAAATTTTTAAGTAAATAATAATGATAATATTAATAAAGATAGTATCAAATCTGATTTTTTAATCAATAAATTCTTACCAAGGTATGTTCGATACATTGCTAAAATTAATAATAAAATTTAAATATCAAATTAAAATTTTATTAATAAATTAACTAGTTACTATATATATATAAAACAAAATCAAATTAATTACCTTGCATTTGAATATTAGCACCAATTTTTTTGTAAATGTTCCATCCAAAATGTTGATACAATTTATAACCAAAGAATAATGAAGACGCAGCAAATCCAGTTAATATTAATAAATGAATAATTTCCCAAGTTATTACAGCTCTACTTATGTCAGTTGTATCGACTGTATCATCATCTATAAATGGACGGTCAATTTCTAATTGATTATTTATACGGCCTATCCATTTAAGACTTCGTGCTAGATTAATCCCTGAAAACAATATCAACATAAGATTTATCATTCCTACTGTTATTACTTCAATTGTATTCTATTTATGTTTATTTTTATTTTTATTGGTAGTAAAATTATTAGTAGTTTTTCAGTGAAAGTTAATAATAATTATATAATAATAAATTTTTGCTTACTTGAAAAAACAACTAAATTTCAAAAAATTTTATTTTATGTTAGAAACTAAATTAAAATAAATTCAAATCCAAATTATAAATTTTAAATAAGTACCGATGAGAGACATAGAAACATTAGAAATGCTTCAAAAACCATGAACCAGACATCTCCATGTATTATAGATAAAATTTCACTTCTATAAATTTCATAATCGTAATTTATATATGCATATTTTCTATCATCAGGTAAATCATTTTCAATGTCATGTAAGTTTAATAATTTTTCTGCAATATCTTCATGTAATTTCAATATAACAGCATTCATTGCTATTGCAACAACTAATCGTACAGCTGCAAATCTGACGTAAAGAATTGCCCATTTTGTTTCTGTAATTTTACTCCACTATAAAAAATTTAAATTAAAAAATAAATTTATTTTCAAAATTATTATTTCATATTTTTTTAAAAAAATATACATGGTTTTTTACCAGTTTGTTTATGATCTGTAAAAGTCGCATGATGAATCCAAAACTATTTACACAAAAAAAAACGTAGTCCCTCTCAAAGGTTTTTTCTCTTTATTTGCGTGATAATTAGTATTCGGGAAAATTGTATCGTATTATTAAAGAAGGTATAAGTAATTTTCCCTAAATAGAATATATATATATTATATCGTTGAAAATTAATAAAAAAAGTTTATAAAGGAAGAGTTTGCTAATATTATTTAGAAAATATTATTGTTCTTCCAATAACACTGTAATAATAATACAATGTACATAATATAATATTATTATATTATTATATTTATTTACAAGAATGAGGAATATTTGTTTGTTAATATTAATATACCTGTAAAAATTTTTTTTTCAAAAGAAAACACGATGATGTTACATTTAACTATTTATTATTACTATTTATGACTTTCATTAAACAGCTCAATATAGCAATTAATACTACTTCAGTTATTCATTGTGAACAAGTCACACGCACACATATTAATGAATTTACGATGGATAAAAACCCATTTGTATTCGATTGTGAATGCGCAAATTCGTTTTCTAGAATGCGTTAATTAATTTCGTACTTTGTACCACAAAAGATCGTCGCATCTATAAATAGATTTCCATTTTTTAGAAACTACTCTACTAGATAAACCTATTAACTATTTAACACGAAATATTTATAAAACATTATGAAAACTTAATTTGATTTATTAAAATTCGCGATTTGTGAAATTTTATTTTTGTTTTAATAATCGCTGTTTTTTAACTATATATATCTCTACCTCTTTTGCATTGTTCTTGCTATCCTTTTCCACCAAAAAAATATAAATTTAACCATAAGGCATTAATTTTTTAAGTTTTTTTGTTTGATTTCTGTTAGAATATTTTGTCATTTGCAGATGTCTCAAATGTGCTCTTGGAACTCCTGTATTCAAATGCCTTCTACCAACTTGAGATCTCTTGAATTTATTCTTGTTACCGCCCAACGCTCTCCATCTAATAATGTGTATATATATTTAAATTTAAATAGTTAGAATTTATTATTATTTGGAATTCATTACTACTACTAACACTGATACTATTAAATAATAATAATTTTAATTAATTTCCTTTTCTTTGCTCCAGAGTGTGTCTTTAATTTATAAGATTTATGCCTACAGATCAAATCAAAAGATTTAGAAGAATATGATGGAAAATTGAGAAATGCAATGATAGAGTGTGATGACGACAAAGATGTAGAAATTGATGCTAATGAATATAATCTAGTTGTTGATTTTGATGAATACGGTCTTATGAATTTATTAATTATATTAAGATTATTTGAAATGATAATATTATTGATATTCGGTGTTTTTAACCTTGGTATAGTACTAAAGAATGGTAAAGCTTTAGAGCATTTTAAAGAAAGCAAAAAAACAAAGATTAGAATTACACGATAAAAAAAAATTCTAGAATAATGATTATTTTACTAATTTTACTAACCACGTTTAAGGGAGAACATTTTTTAAATTTTTTTAATCAAAAAAATTTTTTTTCATGAATTGATGTCATTTTTAATGTTTCACGAAATAAAATATGGAAATGGAGAAATATGGGAAAGCTTTAAATGTTAATAAAAAAACCAAATTACAAGATTGATTGACTGTGTTCCAAAAAAGGTTTTTGAATCATTTTTTTACCAATTACGGTAAGAAGACGATAGAAAATTCCTTTAATTTTATTATTTCCTTCGTGCAACGGTAAAAATTTTATGTAAAACAAAATAAAAGTTTTTTTGTTATAAAAATAAAATTCTTTCCTTATAAATTTTTTCTAATTAATTATAAAAAAACTTAATTATCATATCTGATACATGTATGTAATTACAACTAATATCTCTCATTTGCTTTGATAAAATATTACACAACCGATATTAGAAAAAAAAATTTATATATTTAAAACAATATATTTAAAAAATCTTAACAAAATTTCATACTTTACTTACGCGCACATACATAAATATAAATATAAACAATGCGATTACCAACTATAAAAACAGAATTATTGGAGTTAGAAAATGTAATTTCTCCCGTTGATGAAAAAGAAAACCACAGCCTTTCAGATGTCAATGATCACGACAACTTAATAGATGCCACAGTAACAACAACCTCTTCTTCTTACTCTTCGCGAAATGCTTCAATTGACCACATAAGTAGAGATTTTCTAGAAGCTAATGGTAGCAACCATCGTCTATATGTACCAGGCACGACAAATAATGCAAAAACAACAGTCATCGAACGAATTCGTACACCGAGACCACTAAAAAATGACTATGTTGAAGTCCGTACAGTCGAAGATGACTCGGATCGTGATTCGGTTGGTAAAACGAAAAGACAAAAGCTTACGAGTATCGAAGAAACGGTACACGGTGAAAGAAATTTAGCATTTGAGGTAAAGGATAAGAAAAATTTTTTAATAGAAATAAATGATTCTTTAAATAATTAAAAAAAATTTTTTTTTAATAAATCCGATTATTTATTACGTCATGCAACATAGGCAATGCCTCCATTAATAATATCAGTGGCTGGTTTAATGTTAGCCGGTTGGCTTTTAGATGTTGTTCAAGTAAATATTTTTATTTTATATTTTCATCATCAATAAATTAATCAACTAATCAATCAATTATTAAATAAAATAGCATTGGCCAGTTTTTAATAAAATACCTGAATTGTTTATTTTGGTTCCTGTATTACTAAATCTAAAAGGAAACCTTGAAATGAATTTGGCGTCACGTTTATCTACTTCGGTAAAATTTATTTTTTGAACCATTCTTTGAATTATTTTTTTTTCCTAAAATAATTCATATAAATATATTATTTATGCACTATTAGGCCAATTTAGGCGAATTGGATAAACCATCGGTTCGGTATGCTTTAGTTTGGGGTAATTTAGCAGTACTTCAAGTACAATCCTTAATTGTAGGAGCTGTTGCCGGATTATTTTCATTTATAGAAGGAATAATTTTTCATCCTAGTCATGTCAACTCTTTCTATGAAAGTATGTTGGTGATTGTTGCCTCTATGATTTGTGCTGCTTTAAGTAGTATGATATTAGGTACATTTATGTGTGTGCTAATAATATTATCAAGACGATTTCACATTAACCCAGGTAAACATTATTTGTGTACGAGTGTAAAATTATAATTAATTGATTAATTAAATTAAAAAATTTTTTTTAAAAAAAAAAAAAGATAATATCGCATGTCCGATGGCTTCATCACTTGGCGATTTATTAACATTAGTAATTTTGGCTGTATGTGGTGAATTTCTTCTTCGATACCTTCGTAAGTTTTCTTTAGATGAGTAGTAATATCTCTGTTTACTTTTATATTACACCACATATAATATTTTCTGAATAATCATCAATTAATCTATCTAATAAATAGAATCATATATTAGTTCATTTATGTTTATAATATTGGTGATTAGTATTCCATTATGGGTGAAGATGGTATGGACAAATAAATATGTTCAAGATTTATTGGTTAGTGGTTGGTCGCCTTTATTTTTAGCCATGATTATTGCAAGGTATTTATTTCTTAGTTGATTAGTTTACTTTTTTAATAAATATAGATATAGATTAAATTACTAAATATTAATTATTAATTTATGAAATATAGTATTGCTGGCTTAGTATTAGAAAAATATATAGAAAGGTATAACGGATTGGCTCTTTTGACACCTGTACTAAATGGTAATCATTCAACATTTATTTCATTTTAAAAATTTTATCTATTATACAAGTTAATTGATTTATTAATTAAATATCTTTATTTATTTATCTATTTATCAAACAAAGGTATTGCTGGTAATCTAGGTTCGATATATGCATCAAGAATATCGACAAGACTACATAGTGGTACTGAAGAAAATTATCGACGATCAGAAATAACATTGTTCCTAATACATATTCCTATCGAGATAGCATTTTTAATATTTGCTTGGTGGTTGGATATTGGCCATGCAAATTTAACTTGGAATTTTGCCATCACCTATTTATTTGTTTCCATTATTTGCGTATGTTGCATATATACATATGTGTGTTTTTTAATGTATTCAAAAAATTTAATTAATTAATTTAATAATTTATTTTAGACAATATTTACATTATTACTTGCCAAAAATCTGACAATTTGGTTATGGAATAATAAATATGATCCTGACAATTATTCATTGCCATACATGTAAGTATACATGTAATATTTTAATTATCATTATCATTATCGAATTAACTAACATCTCCCATCCAAATAAAATATTAGAACGGCCATTGTGGATGTTGTTGGTACAGGTTTATTGGTACTATCATATTTAGGATTAGAAAGATTGAATATTGGTGGCGATAGTAAAAAACATTTTCTTGATTGAATATAACAAAAAAAAATAATATAAATAATAATGATATTATAGAACAAGTAGATTTTATCTAGTAATATAGAGTGGATTTACAACGACGACAATAACAACAATTATATAATTTATAAAGTTTTTTGACAATACCAGTCAAAAAAAAGAAAAATTAATCGGACTTTCAAAAGTCTACTTTATGTAGAAATTAATAAATTAATTTTTTTTTGTAGATAGCGTGTTTTTAAATTTAAATATTTTGAAAAAGAGGGAGGATAATTTAAAAATTTAATTAAGTTATATAATAATAAATTTAAATAATAATACTGCAATTAAATTAATAAACAAAATAATAGATATAATTTAACGTATAATTAAAACTCTTCTGTAACACAGTAGTACCTCCTATTCAATCGCTGAATATGGCTTTATCACGCACACATAAGTAATAATGATAATGGTCATGATAAAATTATAGCCAATTTGGTACGCTAATGGAGAATATCAAAATACATCTCTTATATATATATATGTATGTATGTATGTATGTATGTATGTATACACGAGATTCTTTCCTCTTTTTTTTTTCTTCATAGCATAAAAAAAATATAATCTTTATGATAATGTTGAAGAGGTGGAGAGATAATATAAAATTTTTTTTTAAATTTTTGAAAATGTTTATTAAGAAATGGCTTTAGTGATCTATATAATTATTCCAATATGATAATCATGAGTTATGATTATGACGACTATCTAATAAACTCAAATTCTCGCCATTATTTAAATCATAATGATCATCATCAGAAGAAAGACTATTCCTTTGAATGGCACAACAAAATAATTTATTTTTTAAATCAATTAATAAATTTTTAGTTTTTTCAAAGAATTTATCTTTTTGTGCATAAATCCATGGCTTTGCATTTGATATTCTTTCTGTACGTAAACGATGGTGATCATCAATACATGTGAATACACAGACCTGCATTGGTATTGATTGATGGTAAAATAATTATTGATTAGCGTTGATTAACATTAATTCAATATAACAAATGAAATAAACAAACTTACAAATGTTGAAAAAAGTACACCAAGTGCTGTTGAAGCAGATATCATAAACATGATAATTTGTTGATATTTAACAGCATCCTAAATTTAATAATAATGATAAAAATTGATTAATTAATAAATCAGTTTATTGGTTAGTTGGTTTGATTATATGTACTATCATTATCATTATTATTAATATTTACCATTATAGGTGCACCTCCAATAATCTGACCAGTCATCATTCCTAAATTATAAACATTATTTATTATTGTTAGATATACCATTTTTTTAAACTAATATATATTATATTGTTAACATACCTGGAATTGAAATTAATCCAATTATACTAATAAAAATATCAATATTAATATTAATAATAAAGGATAAATCAAAGATAAATTATAACAATAATTAAATTAAGATATATAATTGATGACCTCATTGAATTGATTGTTGGTAACATGGCCAATCTTATAGCTTCTACTGCAACAGGGCGACCAGCCTCCCATCTAGTAGCACCAAACGATAAACTCATTTCAATTTTATCCTTTTGTTCACTAATTAATTATATCAATCAAATGATCAATAAATAAGGTGAGTGAACTACAAATTATAAAAAAATTTTAATTTACCCAAATTGTGCCAAAGCATATGATATACCAACAGCAATAGCAGACATTGTATTTCCAAGAATCATTCCCATTGTTGGAATAAATATTTGAGGATCCCAAAATGGCTTTTGATTCATTGCAAACCTTGAACCTTATTGTTATAGTGATATATTGATCATTAATACAACCATATATACATGTATATGTACAAGTATATATATATAAATATGATCATGATTGTGATTTGATAAAACTTACCAATCACACCAATAAATAGCGTACTCAATGACAATGATATAAGAACTGATCCAAACTTTAAACAGATTTATTAATTAATTAATTATTAATATTATTGAAAACATTAATATTACTAATATTACCATTCCTGAATGTCTTTTTTTACTTTTATTAAAAACAACTTCATTTGTTCCAAGAAATATAAGTGCAACTAAATCATTTAGAGAATTTTTTTAAAAGATGATTAATTAATATTTTTCAATCTTAGATTTGTTTGTGCGGAAATCGATAGCTTACATATCATTGTCATAATTATTAATGGATTTCGTGCTTTAAATACATCTTTGAGTATCATACCCTACATTATATATTCGTTAATTAATATTAATTCGTTAATTTGATTAATTGAATTCATTCGTCCGTCAATTTAATAGTTGATTAATCGATTCAATTCATTATTATTGATCATTCTTACCATCAGTGTCAATTGCACAACACATCTAATTGAACTAATAAATAGAGATTTCTCTAATTTTAAACCAAACCATATCGAAATCAAACCTTATTATTATTAAAAAATAGTAGCAAGTAAAAAAAAATGTAAATAAGAATTAAAAAATTATTTTTTTAAATAAAGTTAGGAAATAGAAATAATATTACTTTTGAATATAAATATTTATATATATCAAACAATACCATTTATCATTATAAAAGTTGAAGCAACACCAACATGTTTCCATTCAAGTGGAACATGAGAAGGTTTTTTTTGACATGGTTCATCAAAAATATATTCCAAGTTCATATTATATCCTAAAACTTTTTAAATAAATTAAAAAATCTATAAAATCTAATAAATAATTTTTAAAAAAAATTAAAAATCTATAAAATCCAATAAATAATTTTTTTATTTAGATTTAACCATTTACGGAAAACGATATGCAAATGTCCAATTGATGAATGTTCTTTCTACTTGACCCATTCATAATTCTTCTTATTTTCGCGTTGCAAAGAAAATAAAATTTAATTACGACACTCGATTTTTGATTACGCGTGTGTCAGATTGTAAACCTATTTTAATTTGTGTATTTGGCATACTAAAATGATTATAAATTAAAAATGTTTCATCATCAAAACAAGGATTGATGTCATTAATATTAGGATAAAACGTATTTCAAAAAAAAAAACTACTTCTCGTGGTGAAATGTCTCCTCCCACCAAATTTTCTCATGAAAAATACTGGAAGCTAAACCTTAATAGAAATACATGATAAATGATCTAAAAATCCTATTATTATTCTCTTAAAGTTTGCAACTAGATATTTTTTTTCTTTGTTTTTGGTATGGTGCACGTCATCTATAAATATCAATAGTCCGAAATTTAAAAATGTATATCTTTCCAATTTAAGTAATTATTTTTTATATTATGCAAAAGCGAAAAAAAATTTTGTATGTGACCATTTAGAAAAACAGATACTCTAATGGTTCATTTTTTTTGATGAGTTATATAATTTTTTATAATAATTTAAAATTAGTTAAAAAATAATAGTAAGATAATTAAAAGAAAGAATAATAATCAAATCAAATAAAAAATTAAATCAATTTTATATTATTTAATTCATGAAAAATATACTCTGGAATTCTTCTATGGATCTATATTTTTTGACAGCATACTCTGCCAACTTTCCAATAATTCCATTCCTATATAGATCCATGTATTCCATGATTTCTTGCAAAGTTCCATTAGAATTTCTTTCTTTACTATTTACTAGGTTTCTTGTGTGTAATTTTCTTTTAGATGGTCTTGGCATTTTATAAAATGAATAATATTAAAAAAAAATTGGTTATTTTATTGGTGCGATATAAACTAATGAGCAATCACTTACTTTTTATGGAAAGAATTTTAGTCCAAAATTTTGAATTTGTTAATAAAATTTTTTAACTTTTATAGATGACGTGCACCAAATGACATTTTTCATTGAAACAACTGCCGATCATTAATATGTTTTTGTGGCGATAATAAACATTATAATTTTCAGGAGTTTTGAGAATCTGACATTACCTCACGTGACCAACGCGAGTCAAGAAAATTACACGACCACGACAATTTTTATTTTATTTTAAAAAGAGTAACTATTAAAAACTAAATAGAAATAACATATTTATATTTTTCTTGGATAAAATTAATTCTACACCCATTTTTACATCATAAATATTTTTAGTTGCTTACTCAAACCTTTAAATTTTATATAGTAATTTTAGGCAGGAATCCAGCGATTCCTACATATAAACATAAAATATTTTATAAGAAAGTCCCTTTGAAAATTTGTATATTTAAACTTCGAGATTCATATCATGTGTTAAAAGTACAATTTTAGTTTATATAAACATAAAGGGTGGTCACGTTGGGGGTGAAAGTTGGAGTCCAGAAAATTTTAATTAGTGATCTGCGCCAAATTCTGTTATGAAAATTTTGTAGATGTTTCACGGATCACGAATTAATGCAAGCAATCGTCTGCAACCTCTGATTGGTCAATTACTTAACTAATAATAATATTTTTCCTGAAAATTTTTTTTACAGAAATCTCTCAGATCACATGATTTTGAATGGCCTTTCTTCACGTGAAGAATAAAAATTAATATTATTTATTTGATTTTTTTAAAATAACATCTTATTCTAAAATAACAATTAAATAATTGATAATTTGATAATGATTGATAAATGGGGCATGCTGCAACAAAACCAAAGTGAACATTTGGCATTACCAGAATTTCAAGGATCGAAATTTAGTAGTGTGATTATTTTTATTTTTATTTTTTTTTGGAAAAACAATTTATCTTTTGACAGATGACAAAACGCGAATATTGCTTGGTATGATTGGTTCTAAAAGCGTGTTAATAACTAACCAGAGGTAACTTTTTTTTAATTTGCATTGATATAATGTGGATTTATATAATGTATATGATTGAAATCAAAATGCGGAGCAGGTCTTGCTGGGTAAGTATAAAATTCTCATCATGATGGTAAATAATTGGTATTTGGCTTTTCATAATCAATATCATCATCATCATCATCATTATTATTACAATAAATAATTACAAGAAAAGCACACCGTTGAATATGAATATGAACATTTCGATATGTGATGTTTGATTATCAGAAATTAGCAGACGTTGAAGCACGCACGCTACCTTGAACATGTTACAGTCATTCTCACATGTTCCTCTTGTGCACAAGGTTAATCTGACTCAGTCCCTCGATGATACAATGATGCAACTGAATTCCAGGAGGGGTGGGCATGTCCTGGAGCTGCATCAAAGCTGCATCAACTGTCAATGACACTTTTGGCAATCTTTTCTCAAAGCACCCAGACCAGAGAAGGCTGCCATGTTAGCCAAAAAATTGCCTACAACGATCCTATCTCTAGGGTAGGGATGGCTCTGTGACCAAGCTGTCACAACTCTGGAGTAATATTAAGAGAACCTGCAACTCGTTTCAAGCACAGGAGGTTGCAATTCAGAGCAGGGTGACCCTGAAATTGCATTTGGGCTCTGATGTTAGTAAACTAAAATGGTTCAGATTTTGTTTGGTATGTCATACATAAATTAATCATTTTCATAAATTTTCTGTTTCAAGCATGTTAGCTGAAATTGCCCCTCTTAGTAAATGATCGTCACCGAATCCAAAATGCCGAAATAGTTTTTCATAGATGCCGAAGTTATGTTGAAATTATTTGAACACTTTAACTAAATAGCCGAAAATTCTGGGTAGTTTTTTTATGACTATTGATATGAAGAATATTGTAAATCTGAAATTTCTTGCTGAAATTGACTTTTTCAAAATCCGTTTCGGCTAACATCCTTAGAAATGATTAAATAGCTAAGTCATGTTTGTTTTATTAAAGATGTATAATTAATTATATTTAAAATATACAATTAAAAATTGCATGGAATCCAAGACTGCACCACTATGTCAATCAAGCTATCAAGCTATTATGTTTGTGCATGATTTAGAATTCTTTTGTGCTAATTTAGGTCCCATCTTTCTTTGCTTATGTATAATTCTTTTGGTTTTCTTTTTACTGGTTGAGTGATGCCAAATTGGGTAATGGGGTATATCAGTAGATATCAGAATCTTATATCTGACCAATAAATATTCTTTAAAAAAATAATCGAGGCATTGGCATGCCAATAAGATGATAATATTCTTGGTATTTTTATCATATATACAGTCTAAAAGCCTATTAGTAAATATTGAAAGTGCCAGTATTTATCCTATTTTTTAGTTAACCATTGGCTCAATTTAATAAACCAATAGCTCTTTTAAGTTATTGGTTAAACATTTCTAAAGCTCTTTGTGAGTAGTAGTTAGGGTTTCTATTCGAATAAGATTTATTTGAATAAAGTGAATAAACAAATAAAGTGAATAAAACAAATAAAACAAATAAAATGAATTTGTATTACAAATAGAAATCATTTAAATTCAATAATTAATTTTGTTTCTTAGTGTTAATGATTGAATTAATCACACAAGTAGTAATCAATTTAAATGGCATTCATTTTTTTAAATGCATAAAATTTTTTTAAAAGATGTTTTTTTTGATAAATGTAAATCTTTATTAATATTAATAAAAAAATCAGAAAGCATGAAATCTTTGCACATAATTATTTTTCATGGGGCCAGTTGACCAAAATTTTCAATTTCTCTTCATAAATTATTGAACAACCGTATTTTTTAAATTATTTACTTAAACCTATTCCACTGATTCATCTAAGATTAATTCCATTCATACACTTCAATTTTAAAACAATTATAAAAAATTTACAAAGTGAACATAAAATTATAAAATTATATATATAGGGTTATAGGCATATGAAAAGTAATAATGAAATAATAATCATAATGGTTTTAATGAATATCAAAAGCCATTGATTTTTTATAAAAAGGCTGTAAATGTGGTTGTTCTTCAATGGTTCCCAAAGAACAATTTGCAGGGTTAAGGGAATCCTTTCAAGCTCTTTCCAAGTCTGAACAAGACTTATTTTTAATGGCCCAACTTAAAGCAATGGATGGGGATCAATAATCACTAGTAGATGCCTTAAAAAGAAAACCAGATCTAATAAAAAAACTTTCTATCATTGGGATCACAATACACTTCTTTCTCAAGAAACTTGTCTCAATATGTCAGGACTTAATTTGAAAATATTAGAAATCACCTGATAAACAATGGTCTTCTACCAAGAATTCATGGTAATATTAAAAGAATGCCTCAATGAAAAACTAAAATGGTGATTGACAAAATGTTGCAGAAGTAGTAAAGAATTTTCTAGAAAATTATGCAAAAGTCCATGGATTACCAAGTCCAGGAAGAAGTACTAATAGAATAACTCAATCAATTACATTTTTACCAGCTGAAATGAGTTATAAATCTATGCAAGTAAATCATGAAAACATAATAAATGAACAACAACAAGCAAATAAAGAACTATTAAACAAAATTGCTGATTTAGAAAAGCAGTTAGCTGATAAAGATCAAGAAAGAGAAACAATCAATAGAAGAACTTAAATTAAAAATTTGACACCTTACTGGCCAACCTGATGAAAGTAGTTATGTCCTGGTCATTGGTGATTTAATAAACTAAACAAAAAGTGATTAGAGGAAGTAAGTTAAGAATGGCAGTAGATCCTAATGAAACAAAGGAATGAGCCAAAAATTGTAAAAGAGTTTGATTTGACAACATTACAATCGAAGAAATGTTAGAAGGTTTATTGATAGTTCAAAAGAATTAGTTACAAGTTGTTCAGAATATATTTCAATAAAAGAGATTATCAACTTACTGAACAAAAGAGCAGAATTGAATAAGCATAAAGAGCAAGTTGAAGATTTAGAAAAAAAACTTTGTTAGTTTGACATGAGGAGCAAGAAGAAATTGATAATGTTTCTTGAGAAGATCAATTTCATAACTGAGACTTATTTACAATTATCAAATATTACATTATGTCAACAACACATCCCCACTTGCAACCAGTGAATGCAGGAATTATCAAGTCATTCAAAGCTAAATATAAGCATTTATATTGTCAGCATACTTTTTTGAAAGCGGAACAGCTATTTGAAAGCCTCTTAATTATATATTCTTTGCATTGAATTTTTCTCATGTTAATTTTTTTTTAGGTCCATGTTCAATTGGGATAATGTTGCTCGATCTTGGTCTGATGTAACAACTACAACAACAAAAAATTGCTGGGGCAAGACAGGTATTTACTAGCGACTAAAGTATACAAACAAATCCAGTAATGGATGAAGATGAAGAGCTTGCAAATCCATTTAATAATTTGTTAACTGATGATAATAATCAACAAGTACTGGCTCATCAAGTTGAATAATTTATTAACACAGTTGTTGAACTGAAGATACTCTTGGTGATAGGGAGAGGAATTCTTGAAGCTGGTTCCAACGTTTCAGATCCATCATTACCATTAAAGAAGCTTGTGAAGCCTTAAAGAAAGTTGAAGAGAGCCAGGATGAAATAAATAAGAATGTCTTTGTTACAAGCAAAAATTAATAATTATATAATAATGTTGATAATATTACTATTAACATTGATAATATTATGAAATTATCATTTAATTTTGAATTTTATTAAATTAACATGACTACTATTTTGAAGGCCATTTCATTTGTTTAATTTAATATATTAAATACTAATATGACGTTTTCATTTACATGATACAGAAAGAGATAAAATACAAGTTATTTTGTCTCAATTGGATGGATACATACTGACAGAAATAAAGAAATACTCATAAGGCGGTTTTCTTCTTAGATGGCCTTAGGGATCAAACAAGTACTATTTCATCTCAATTAGATGGATACATACTCAAATAAAGAAAGAAAAATAGGTTGATTATTAATAATAATTCAATAAAGGCGAAGAAGCAAGCATTAAAAATCATTTAATAAAAATTAAAATTGTTATGTTTCATTTTACTATTTTATTTCTATTTACAAACAATTTAAAAAAGAATTTTATTAACCACTTCGGAAATGTTGTCCACTTGATGTCCCATTGTTCCATTCAGCCAACCATTTAACATTCTGACGACCAAAACTCATGGTATTTGTGTAATTGTGGGATTTGAGAGATCTCTTGGTGACTGACATGGTGCGCTGATGACAATCCTTTCATAGGAACACTGCCAACGTTGATCCACTGATGGCAGCTGACGACAGTCTTGATTTTGCTGTGTTGATGATTTGCTGCGTTGACGATTTATATGATGTATACATGCCACCCAAATCCCAAATGTAAAAAATGAATTTGGGGCAGGCTGTCAAAGAATTTCCAAAGCCCAAACTATTTTGTACACACCAATGGCATTCTGAAGTGATTGTGAAGGTGATCACAATAAGGTTTCCGGTCCAAATTGTTTTCTCAGAGCCCAAACCGGTTTGGACAATTTGGGCTTCTCAATGTTTTTATATGAATGAACATGAAAAATCACATGAATCAAACTTATTTTAACCCGAACAAATTTCGTTCAGCTCTAACTAAAGTGGTTTGGGCAATTCTACTAAATGAGGTATGTTTAATCAACAAACCCCTGTGTTACACTAGATGCTTATTGGGTAGAGGATTGATCTACAGTGATTGGGCGAATCATTATTAATTAATTAATTATTACAAAGTTATTATTTCGAAGATGATCTATTTGAAAGTCACAATTTAACTCTAGCTATATGCTTAAATACTTTTTGACGTTTCACTAAATTATATTTAATTGATTTGATCATTCAATCAATTTATCAAATTTCGATCGCTTTACTAAATATTGTCACAATCAAAAAATCCATCAGGCCTGAAGACCAAAGACATTAGGATATCATATAATTCATTTAGATCACACTTTCGAATGACCAAAAGTACATTTAATTTATTGTTGTTGGAAATGCTTCTGGATATAGACAATAGAGAAACTCTAGGATATCACAAGGATCTGTACATACTTAATTTCGCAAAAAAGATTCATTATCTCTATGAAAGAAGCATTTAATAATTTTATTACTTGGCCAAAAAGCGTTAGGCTAATTGATGTATTGATTGTGAATGTATTCAGAAATCTGCATCCTGGTTCGCCTTATCTAGAAAGTGTAATCAAGACTCCCATATTATAATTCTACAAGAAATCGAGCTTTTACATATGACTTCCATGACTTTAAAGTAAAGTAAGTTTCTTGGTTGCAAAACCAAGGAATAGAAATTACTTGGACAAAACTGATGACTATGCTTTTGATGAGTATTATCAATGAGTATTTGTTTGTTTGAAAGTAGACATTCTGCTTTTATTTGATATATAGACGCGTAACCAAAATATGCATGAGATTTGGAAATTTTACACATGAGGGTTCTAAAAATAGATTTTGAAACTACATTTGACCATCTCAAAATTTATCTTCCTTTTTTTTTAAAAAAAAAAAAAAGAATATTTTTTATTAACATTCGCATAATATTAATTAAAAAAAAATAAAATGGTATTTAGTTTAAATTCTGTCAACTGTCAAAATTTTCGAAATTTATAAAAAAACGCGTAAATAAATATGTAAATTCATGTATAAAAATTTTATATGTATATATATAACAAATCTAGAATCGCAAGAGAACTTATAACGATGTTAATAGTCCAACTTCTGATCATAATCTTTCACCATTAATCAATAGTCCATCAACACCTTTAATTACTGGTGGTGGATTAAGTCGTCGTAGTATTATTGATAATATTACTAGACTCAACAATGTAAATAATAGAGAAATTTCACTAGAAGCAGAAGAAGGAGAAGCAGATATCGAAGAAATTAATGAAATTGATGATGTTGATCATGAAATTTATAGTGATGATGAAGAAGAAGGCGAAGATTTGATTACTGATGACATGGGAAGGTAGTTAATTAATTAACTAACAGAGGATCAGAGTGAATTATTGTATTATCTGTTTTTATACATATTGATATTGATATTATTATTATCATCATCATCATCATTATTATAGAGACTATCTATCAAATCCTCATTATGATCAATATGAACAAGTGGGTATAGATGATAATCCTATTGAAAATGAGCCAGATCCTGCAGCACGTAGACGTGCTGAATTTCTTATGGAGCAACGTGATGCTCTTGAAGCTGGAAGACCTGTTGAATCAACTATGTGTAAGCTGTTTGTTATATATTTATATATATGAAATAATAAGTAATTGATCATTCGATTATTAATATATATATATATATTTATATATAGTACCTGATCATCCAAAGAAAATTACACAGAGAAAAAGATATGATGAACCAATTGATGCTGAAGAAGAAGAAGGGGATGAGAGTTTGACAATAGAGGAACTTTCAGATATGAAAGCAAATAATGTACTTGAATGGGTCCAAAAACCACCTGTCAAGAATGGTATCATGAAGCAATTTAGTCATTTCTTACATTCATTTACAATTGATGGCAAAAATGTTTATCGGCAAAGGATTGATGAATTAACAGCGAGTATGTATGGATGAATATATTTGATATTTGTAATATATGCAATTACTAATTATTTTATTAAAAAAATAATCCAAAAAAAATATAAATAGAAAATTCAAAAACATTATTTGTGGATTTCAAACATTTAATCGAACATAAACCAATTTTGTGTTCTTTTTTGCAAGAATGTCCAACTGTAATCTTGAATTTATTTGATGAGGTTTCAAATAATGTAATCATTCAAAGATATCACAATTATTCTAATATTGAAAAACATGTCACAGTCCGCATAACTAATTATTCAGGTAATCGTACTCTTAGACAACTTAGGTATGTAAGAATTTATTATATTATTATTATTATTATTATATTTATGCACATATAATGAACAAACACACACACTATATATATATCTATTTGTACTTTCCACACGTTCTTTTTCTTTTACATACAAAAAAAAAAAAAAACCAAATATCAGAGAAAAGCATCTTAATACATTTGTATGTGTCAATGGAGTAATTACTAAAAGAACAGGAGTATTTCCACAATTGAAATATGTAAAATATAATTGCGGAAAATGTGGAGGACTGCTTGGACCATTTACTCAAGACTCTGATTCAGAAATTAAAATAAATCATTGTATACATTGTGAATCAAAGGGCCCATTCTACATAAATGTAGAAAATGTAAGATAACATATTTTATATCATAATAATGGATCGATTGGATTATTAATAACTTTATTAATAATTCGTTCCAGACAATATATAGTGATTATCAAAAGATAACACTTCAAGAGAATCCAGGTTCGGTTCCGCCTGGAAGATTACCTCGCCATCGTGAAGTTATTCTATTTGGTGATTTGATTGATTCAGCAAAACCTGGCGAAGAAATCGTAAGAATATAATTCTGCCTAATAAACCCAATAATAAATGAATAGATAAATTCATTTATTATATTTAATAATAATGATAATAATAATAATAGAACGTAACTGGAATTTATCGGAATAATTATGATGCGTCGTTAAATATTAAAAACGGATTCCCCGTGTTTTCCACATTAATTGAAGCAAATTATATTTATAAAACACATGATGCTAATATTGACTTGAGTGATGAAGATAAAAGAAAAATAGAAGATTATTCTAAAGATCCTCGAATTGCCCAAAGGGTAACTATATAATTAATATAATGATTTATTTATTTGTTTGTTTATTAAAATAATTATATATATTAATTACAACACACACATATATATAGATATTCAAAAGTATTGCACCATCGATTTATGGACATGCCAATATAAAAAGAGCTTTAGCTTTATCATTATTTGGAGGTGTACCAAAAAATATCAAAGACAAACATCGATTACGTGGTGATATTAATATTCTTATGCTTGGAGATCCTGGTACAGCCAAGTCACAATTTCTAAAGTATATTGAAAAGACAGCACATCGAGCTGTATTCACAACAGGACAAGGAGCTTCAGCAGTTGGTCTGACGGCATCAGTAAAAAAAGATCCGGTGACCAGAGAATGGACATTAGAAGGCGGAGCATTGGTGCTTGCCGATCAAGGAATTTGTCTCATTGATGAATTTGACAAAATGAATGATTCTGATAGGTATAATTATTTGATGTTTTAATAATGATTGTTTGATATTATATATAATGCATATATTGATAAATCATATCAATTATAATTATGCATTTCTAAATTATATGTGCGTTCATGCACAACCACTCTCTTACATATACAAATACAAATATAATATCTAGAACAAGTATCCATGAAGCAATGGAACAACAAACAATATCAATTAATAAAGCAGGAATAAATACAGTTCTTAATGCAAGATGTGCAGTTTTAGCAGCTGCCAATCCAATTAGAGGACGATACAATGCCTCAGTACCATTTTCGCATAACGTATATCTAACCGAGCCTATTTTGTCACGATTTGATATTTTATGTGTTGTCAAAGATAAAGTTAATTCAGGAATTGATGAAATTCTAGCTGAATTTGTTGTTGCTAGTCATATTAGAAGTCATCCGTCTTCCGAAGCTCAAAGTGTTGGTGATTTACATCAGGATGCTGACGTATGTATATGATATATATTTATATATATATATATATATATGAGTGATACATGTTCACTTATTTATTCTTACATCATCAATATATCAATTAGCTTATTCCTCAAGATGACTTAAGGAAATATATTTTATATGCTAAACAAATTGAACCAACATTATCTGAATTTGATAAATTAAAAGTCGCTAATCTTTATGCAGGTTTAAGACAAGAGGTTAGTAGAATGGAATAAAAATAAACTAATATTTATTATAATATATAATAGTAATAATAATAATTATTATTTAGGCACAAAATGGGGGTATTCCAATAACTGTTCGTTATTTAGAATCAATAATACGATTAGCAGAAGCACACGCAAGGTATTACTATTATCTATTATTATCACTATTATCTATTATTATAATTTAACAGTTTTTTTTGGTGTAGAATTCATCTTCGTCGTGATACTATTGGCAGAGATTTAGATGTAGCAATTGATGTCGTTTTAAGAAGTTTCTTTTCATCTCAGAAATATTCAGTTGCAAATAAACTTAAAGAAGTAAATATAATAATAATGGTTATTATTTTTAATTATTAAAATAATATGATTATATTAATACATAATTTTTTTTTTTTGTAGAAATTTGGTGGATTTTTGATGTAGATCAAAATTATATATGGTCTCGCCTCATGTTATTTTTGCTAAAAATTAAATAAATAAAAATCTATTTCTTTTACTTCATCAATTTAATATGGATTCTTCATAAAATATTAAACGAGCATATGCAATGTGCATGTCATGAATCAAAAGCAAAGGATAAAGAAAAAAAAAGATTGTTAATATAATGACTAACCTATTACATTTTACAAGACTATAGAACAATAACTCTGACCCTTGTAGATACAGTACAATGTGCTACTGGGATGATCATACTGGGTATCCACCAACTTATGAACTTATAACTCTGGTGTTCAACTAGTTCTTTGAAAATTTGTTGGCCGCACTCCTCCATTATGGTATAAATATTTCTAACTGCATTCACGTCCCGGTTCCAAACTCTGCAACGTATAGATTGGCTGAGGATTTCCAAACCAATCTTCATATCTAGAACAGAACTGTTGGGAAAAAATAAAAACGTAAATAATCATTTTACAAATTTAGAAATTTTAGTAACTATCTCCAGACATAATTCAAAAAATCGTTGTAAATTAATAAAATAATTATAATGGTTTGTTCAAAGTGTATGATATTTTTTTTATTAAGATTATTTTTTTTTTAAAACATGCATAAAAAACATCAAAATAATGGTTATTGATTTTTTTCTTTTTTTGATTAGGCGAAAAGAAATTAGCGAAAGTTATTTGTCCTGATAAATGGAAAGAGGGCTCAAGAAATGTTAATGGTATGTTGATCTAACAATAATAACAAGAAGTTAATAAAATGTTTTTGAATTAAACTTATATATTTTATTATTATTTATTATAACCGTAGTTGGAACAGATAGAAAATTAAATGAAAATAAATTATTATCTAAACCAGGGAAAAATAGGTTGGTTACATTACTAACTAGTTATTGATGGATTGCTAGTTGATTGCCCATTAGTTATATTTCTTTAATACGTTAATAAAAACTTTAATTGTGCCCATCAGGTTTAAACCATATGAAAATAAATGTAAAGTTTGCAAGTCAAGGGTACATCAAGAGCATGCACATTATTGTCAAGGTAAATAAATAACAAGATCAATAATATAAATCAATATTAAGCAATAAGATTCTTTATTAACATTGGTTTTTTTTTAAAAAAAATGTTATAGGATGTGCTTATAAACAAGGAATATGTGCAATGTGTGGTAAACAAATTCTTGATACGTCAATGTATAAACAAAGTGCTAAATAATAAATGATGATTAAATAAAAAATTGAAATCAATACGCTCATTTATTAGTTGATGAAAAGATTTTGTTGGTTTGGTATTACATTTATTATTTTTATTATTTAAATCCTTTTTAAAAAAAAACTAATTAAATATTTAATCAATGTCATGTATTAGGTAGGGATTATATCAATATAATTAGAAACAATAAATTATTTAATAATTTTAATAAGCAGATTAATAAACATGATAAGTGGATATGCAAATTAGCAAATTTCTTCTTTCATAATAATCGCATTAACTCCTTCTTGGACCATTTTAAGACACCTTCTTAAACCATCTTTACTTAAAAAACAAAAACAAAAATCATAATTATATATTCAAAGCATTGGGAAAAAAGGGAATGTTAAACCTGTAATAATAATTTCCTTCTTTTAATAATTTATTTGAGGATGATTTTCTTTATTAGCAGCAGTCAATTCTTTTAACTTTAATATGATTTTTTTCCCTTTTCAATAAAAAAATAATTTTCATTAAATTTACTCTTCAGTTGTCTTTTGTATAACTTCATCTGGTAAAATCAACCAATTTTAATTGAGAAAACAAATTAATCAATTAATAGAATAAATGGAAATGAGAACCATAATCATTCCTTTCATCCTTGATTTTATGTAAATATCTTGTTCCAAATTTTTCATTGACAATCTATCAATTTTGCATATCTACAATTAATCATATAATAATAAATATTAAATGTAAATCAATACATTTGGATAAATAGTTGGACTTCATGAAAATGTGTTGCAAGGAATATGGATGTTAAATATATATCATTTTATTGTTATTATTAAATTCATTTATAAATCTACCATAGTCTCACATATAACATATATATACCTAATCCATCATGTGTAATGTTCCTATTTAAAACATTAATTTAATAATTTACTACAAGCTTGCTAAATTTTGAATAAATTGTATATTGGATCTAATAGATAAAAATTCAATTACTATATTACGATGATGATATTAACCTACCAATTCAAAGTCATAAAAGTTGATAAATAATATCTGGTTGGCACACTAATTGAGATTTCAAATGGGTCTCATTGTTATAATACTATTTAATATTATTCTTTATATCAAAATTTATTATTATTATATAATATGTGACTTGATAAATTATTGTTTATATTTTTCAATCATTTCAGGTGTATCATCAACCATTTCTTTATATGTTTATTATGCTATAAATAATAAATATTATTTTATAAAAATAGTTAGAGACATTGATCAATCAATTATCAATTTATGTGTGTGTGGTTCAACTTACCAACATCCAACAGTCCATTGTATTATATGGGACATGCTGCAACAAAAACCAGACAAAGTGAACATTGGTATTACCAAGAATTTCAGGTTCAAAATTTATAATGCAATTATTATTATTATGGTTTAACAATTTTGTAACCTTCCATCTGTTATCTTTTTTTTAAAGTAGTATATAGAATTACTCCTAGATAAAAATAATTAATATGAAACTCATTTATATCAGATCTACCATGGAGACCAAGAATTTTGAAGAAAGAACAAGGAGAAGATTCAAAATAAATGATACTTGGACACTTTAAGCTTATCTAAGTAAAGAAAGGATCACCTATGAAATTTACCAAGAAGAAAGAACATTAACACAGAACCCAGAGGTGTATAAATTTTGGTGTGTAAGAAAAAATTACCATGTATGATGTTACACCCGCACATTCCGCACATTGAATTTTGTACTCGGAAAGAAAAGAGAAATAAATAAATTGCTGTCTAATTTTAGAATAATATAATGAATATATTATCTATGTAATCATGAATGGAGTAAAATAAACTGCAAGTCCATTGGCACCTGAATGTAAATATATTAAAGAAGAGATCAAAAAAAAAGATATACAGTATGTACATTGTTGCAGAAAGGGATGGCGTAAGTGAATCCAACATATAAAGCGAATACACAATCGCTAATTTTTGGGATAAAGATGAGATATTATTAAAAGAACATTCAGGAATTACATAGATTATTCAATTTTAAAGGCTTTTGTGATTTTGTGGTATCCAGAAGTATTGATTTTAATGCAATTCCTGAAAATTTCACCTCCATCAAATATGTAAAAAATCATTATTTTTTAAAAATTTTATCAAGTAAAAATAAAAATTAAAGATCAAGAATATTGGTTCGAGATTTATAGGAGTTTCAAACAGTTTAGGAATTCAGGCTCATTTTCTAAACCAGTTTATAATGGTTTTAATTTCGAATAATTCTAATGAGTCTCAGAAGGCAACTTCAATTCTTGGGTTGTTGAAAATTCAGTGTGGGAGTGCGGGGTGTAACATTACACGCCAATCAAATTTTTAATTTTTGGAGATAGTTTCTAAATTTGTACCAGTCACACAACGAAATTTCACATTACATTGTACAATGTTCACTTTGTCTCATTTTGTTGCAGTATGCCCCATATATATGAGTATATTTATAATAGGAAAAGGAAAAGAAAAGATGGAAATAAAAAGAAAATAAGTTCAATAATCACTTAAGAGCATAACAATGTTGATTTTGAATACCAAGTGTACTTTTTGATAATTACATCTTCATTTATAACTTAATTAACGATCCGTCTATGAATGAAAGAACCGGCTGCGGAAACACTAATTTTTGCATCCAAGAGAAAAATATTTGAGGTTTTTCCCCATCCGTTGCACACATAAAAAAGTTACGTATAACTTTTCATGCAAAGGTGGTCTCTCTGATTACTATATATGATCATCTTATTCATAGATGACGGATCATCAATTATGGATTATTCCTGAATTTGTAATCCTGGGTCATTTCAAAAGGTAATTCTTTTTTTAAATTGTAAAGAATTTTGCATCTTTTAATAATTTAACCAATGTCTCAGTAGGACTCGGATCATTATAATTGGGGCAATATCCGGTTGGGTATGGCAGAAAATTTTTTATTACAAGTCATATCCAAAGCAATTTTTATGTCATGAAATTATGGGGTAAAGCAAAAAATAGTCAAGGGTTAAAATTGTGTCCTTTTTCATTTTTAAGTAAACTTTCTAAGGACCCTGCTTATTACTAATACAAAAATTTTTTTTAATAAAAAATATATTTTTCAATGTCTTAATATGTGCAAAGCTTAATTTTTTTTTTTTGAAAGGAGAAGAGTGCTAGGGTAAAAAATTATTATGTTACCTCATTCAGGTCCCGAAATAAAAAATAAATCAGAACAATATAAAGATATTTATTTTTTATAATCATAAATACCTGATTGAATTGAGAAAAATGTCTCCTATTAAAAAAACAATCAGTTATCATTATACATCTTAAAATCTCCCTTTATTTTTATTAATGACTCATTATTTATGTTTAGAATATATGATTTAATTGTTTCCAAGCAAATGACGATATTTAAATATTTAAATGATTGAATAAATATATATATTTGAATAGAAAAGAAATACAAATAGCAATCAAGTGATTACAAACCGGTTAAAGGTTGGTACCTATTGAATTATAACCTTAGTATGATCATCGTCATTTGTACAATCAAAACACTTGCATAATTATTATAATATAATGAATTAATTAATATTTTATTAATCATTTCAGTAATATGCGCAGCAATTGAATCTAAATTAATATTGTTGATATTGATGTTATTTATAATTTTCATTTTTTTAATGATAATGTAGGTTTTCTCTGCTTCAACCAATTCTATGTTGTCAGAAAAGTATATATATTATTCACTTTTTAATTACTAATAATAATATTGTCAGTTTGTGTTGGGGCTAATTTGTCATTTAACTTTTGTTAGCTCAAATACAATAAAGGAGGTATAAGCCACAACAGAATTAAATTAAGAAAAGCCATCTGAATTTAATGTAAAAAACTTTTTTCTTGGCTTGAGAACAAAAGCTTCAACTTGATAAACCCATATCAAATCAACCTTTACCTTATTGCGAAAGGAAGGGGGTTAATAAAGTTTAATTCCAAAAAAAATTTATAATCATCCGGAAAATTATAGAAATTTCCTTTTTTTTTTTCCACGATATGCACCATATAAAAACTATTTATAAAAAACATTTATTTATATATTATACTAATACATATATATTATATATGTATATGTTTTTATTATATGTATATAATTATTTATTATCTATAATAAAATTGAAAATATATTACAAATTAAAATAAATATAACTAATATTAACTATATAATTATATTTATTTATAACAATAATTACACATTCGTCTTTAAATCTTCTATAATAATAATAATTGTGCCTCATCTCATATGTAATCACTTCTTGATCTTCTTCCATTTCCTACTGTTGGTCTCCTCAACGTTGTCATAAAATAATCATCATTACTAACATAGTTGTGATTTGCAATTTTATTATTATTATTATTATCAATGTCTCTTAATTTAGTAGATAATTTTACATGTTGTTTTGTATTATTTTTATGATGTGGATGATTAATTTTATATTTCTTTCCTGATGTTTTACTAATGCCATTTACTCCAATACCAGCAGAGTTATTAATATGATGCAAATGATGTGAATGCGAACGTGAATGTTGACTATTTATATTATGATTCTTAATATTTACACAATTGTAATTATGTTGTTGTTGTTGATTATGTTCTAATAATAATTTCTTAATACTCCACCCGACAAAATCTAAAGCAACACCTCCGGAAAACTCAACTGCTAAAAATCCAAGCCTAATTGCTATTACAATAATTGCCAACGCTGAAGTTACTATTGCAATCGAAGAAAAGAAACCAAGCAGCGCAAATGCTAAAGGTGCGAACATTAAAAGGATTGGAAGACTAATGTAATATGTGTTCATTTTATAAGTTTTGTTTGTAATGTTACGAGAAAAAATTTTTTTGTTCTTCAAGACGAAAAATTGAAAAAAAAATTTTATTTGGTTTTTATATTTAGTTAGTCGAAAAAAAAATTTTTTATTTTTTTTTTCGTTGGGGAAGTGGGGGGATAAATATAAAAAAGTTTTTTTACAATACGTATATATCGGAAATTTTTGTTTTGGTTTTGTGCTTAAGAATAAGATGAAAAAGGAAAATCAAAAAAAAAAATTTTTTCAGAGGAGTGTTTATTTATATAAATAAAAAAAGAAGAAATTGTGATTAATCATGTGGCTTTTTTTATTTTATTAAATTTGACACAACCAGCTTTTTGTTAAAATTAAAAACATCAACCAAATCAAGGTTTTTTTTTGTATGTATGAATAAAAATTATGTGGCATGTGACCTTTTGTGACATCACTATAAATTACATATATTAGTAATCTATCAACTCAATTGGTTTTTTTTATTGGTATTGTTATTTTTATAATAGCATCACATATTTCATTGGTCGAGCTTGTTTTGTTATATAAGTAAGTTCTTTTGGTTACTCTCTTATTAATATTTTTTATTAATTGATGATAAATAAAAATTTACTAATTTAGGTCAGCTGAACCCTTTTAATCTTCCACATTTTAGCAAGTACATAAATAGCTAGTTATCATTATAGATTAAAAAATTTATCTTATCTTTTATCATTCTAGTATCATTATTCCATTATTCATCAATCACATCATCATCATCAATGTATATGACATCAATGTTACGCACATATATGGAAGTTGGGCTGAAATTATTATATATATTCATTCACGTTTTTCATATTTCATATTTTATACTATTAGTAAGGTTTCTTCTATATTATGCCAGATCTACCAAAAATCTTGTCATAAATGGAAATCAGAGAATAAAAAATCAGCCCACATTGATGTTTGCCCAACATCTACGTACTACAACAAAGATTCCATATTTTTTAGTAATTAGCTGCACTGATTTACCAAAAATACGAGATCGTCATACTGAACTTCTTTCTCCAAATCAGTTGGCATTCGGAATATCATAAATTTACTTGGAGGGTAAGTTGCAATTGGTGATATTTTATCTCCCCTTAAAGGCTCGGCGCTGTATCCATGACCCATGATCGTTCACGGAATGTTTGTGGGAGGAGCTTGGCGTTATGGTCATTAATGTCATGGCAGTCTCCGAGACAAGTTTATAGGTTAAAAAAAGACTGAGCGGTTGCTACATAGGAGATGGTCGATAATTTAGATCCTCAGATTCTATTAATTTATTGAATCAAAAAGGAAAATACAATTAGCATATTTGCAGTTGGCAATTGTATCCTGAGATCCCATTAAAATTATTTAATTTATTTACTCGGAAAACATACAATAATATACAAATTAGTACATCAATCATGTTTGTTTATGCATATTGAAAGACCCGCATTTTTACTTGATGTGAAAAACAATATATAGAACGAGGTTGGGACGGAACATCGTGCCAATTAACCAAGATAATGGCTCAAATAATTTCCTGATTTTTCTCCTATATAAAAAATATAATTACGGCGGATGAATTTTTGTTTCTAGAAATGACTTATTTCTCAATTGGAGATATAATTTTACTATTAATATATTTATTGACTGATTTTCTGTAATATATAATCGAATAAACCTTATATTTTTCTGATAACCTCCTAATTATTTCTGAAAACGGCATCATACAAACTGCAAAAGGTTTTATTGGTTTGTGCGAGAATTTAAGCGGACTGCATGGATGTTGTTGAGAAACAATTGATAATTGAAGAACCATAAAAGCAATTCCAGCGAGGATGAAATTTTGACATCGATTCTTTCACCATAATGGTCGCACTGATTTTTTTATATCTATTGGATGGTTTTTTAGAACTTCGATTAAGAGTATTTAAAATTTATATTACCACGTCAGATGATACATGTATATATTATTTGTTTATAAACAATTTTCATTTTTGTGGTACTTTCTTATGATACGCTCCGTATATATTCCAGGGTGGTTGGTGGTTCGGCAGCTTCCATATGCCAGACTTTTGGTCATATGAGCGCCGAATTCTCTTGTTTAAGGAGAGAATACATTGTTCCAAAAGTATCAAAATGTAGTTAATAAGTTTTAAAACGGGATACAACATTGACTAAAATCATTCACATGACTTCAAAATTTATTTTTAGTGTGTACCTATCATATGATCTGTATGACCGAAAAAATTTTTTTTTGAAGTTTTGATTTTATTGGTATTCAGATTATTTATTGTTTACACTGTTATCAAAGTTTAGAAGGAAAGAATGTATGTGAAATGGAAACGGTGATAGAAAATCACATATAGATACCTATATTGGGAGAATTTTGGACTCTCGAGTGAAGGTGAAAGTAAAGTGAAAGAGTCAGTTACGAAATTCAAATTATTATCATATCTCCTCCACATAAAAATCCTGTCGTAGCTTTGGTTCCAACATATGGAAATGTTTTTATATATTAATATGGAAGTGTGACCGTACTACTTACTATTTATTATTATTTTTATTGTGGTAAATAAATACAAAGCAACACAGAAAAACAAAATGTCAATGAAATTGCCCTCTGCTTCCAAACGATGTAGTTATCACTGTTATCACTGTTATATAAAAAAAAGAATATTCTACGCACAGTATAAATAATTTAATTAAAAAAACCAAATCGGATTATCTAAATATAAGTGGCTAATAATATCCATTAATCGGATTAATTCTTCATTTTCATTGAATATTCATTATGTGGATAATTTTTATTGATTGATTAATATAATAAATAAGCATTCCAAATATAGAGCGTGAGAAGCCTTTTGCTTTGTTATTATAAATATTAATTCAACATACTAAACTTTTTAATAGCAACTATATACATAATAATAATGAATGAATAATTATTTTCTCTTTGTTGTTGTTTATTATAAAATTTTTTCTATTGATGAATTGTGGTACGAAATTAAAAAAATTTTATTATTATTATTACATTAGTATTAGTATTAGAGAGGCATTCACGGGTCACCATAATTGAATGAATACCCAACCCGAATCCACATAAATTCATAATTTGCGAATTCTATCTGCCATTAAGAAATTATAAAAATTTCAACCCGAGCCTGACTTGTACGCAAAAAATTTCAATACAAACATGTAAAAATCTTTTATGTTGAATAGAAATTACAAGAAAAAATTTTTTATTGCCTCGTTAACTTTGTAAGAGTCACTTTCTTTGTTAAGAAAGGCGAGATATTTCTTTGATTACTTGTCGAGCTGCAAACATAATGTATTAAATTAAAAGTCCCTTCTTTTGGATTATATTTATATAAATACTGACAATAACATAACCACAAGACTTATCATCAAACATCACTTTCCACCAATTTTATCGTTACATAATTTGGCTAGTGTGCAATATATTTGGCATTAATGAGTTATTGATTCGAAAAGTGCGTGTGCATACATATTTATAACCATCAAAGAATTTGTAAAATATATATTTTTTAGTCATTGTAAATTATAACTCGTAACGCCCGTAGTCATTTCACGTCAATATTAACATTAAGCATGTCCTACTGCCGTTCCACACGTTCAAATATCAAAAATTCTTGTAATTCATTCAAAAATGTAAAAGAATTGTGATTCGTGTATATATAATCAAAAGTTTTTCTTCAGACGAAATATTTTCTGTGATGCGCTGGTGAATTATATCTTTTTACAGCATATAAAGACTTAACAAATATTCAAAAATGCCTTGCATGCTTATGTATTTGATTTTTCCGGTTCTTTAAAGGTGTAATCGCAGCTATTCCGTGTGTATGCTTTCGCTGCTCCCTGGAAACACTCAATGAAGTTAAGTTTACAACGAAACTTGGGAAAAAAACTTCATGACCAAGGGCGCTGGAAAGCAAAACCTGGTTGTAAAGACAGAATACGTATAGCACAACAATATCTACGATTTTGAATTTGGCCAAATTTAAAAACGGTTTTCGTAACTATATTTGATGAGGATTTTTGGACCAAATTCCTTGTGAACATAATTAATTCTAATACTAAATACAAGAAATAGTTTTTTTGAAAAATCACTCTTCCACTGTATTAAAGTTAGAGAGACTTAATTTGTCAATTAAATTTTTAAATATAGAGTCTTATACTTTAAAGGTACGGGAAACCTCTAGACTGCGTGCACCACCACCATATTAATAAACTAAGTAAAATTCTAAAACAAATTTTGGCAGAATTATAATTAATTTCAAAATTTATTATTATTATATATGGAATTAATGGACCAATGATCAAAAATAAGTCTATTTCATCAAAAACACCTAATGAAATACACATGATGCATGTAGAAGTAGTGGGAAGAAAATTTCCAAAATAAAAATTAATAGCAAGAAAGTTTGACAGCGGTAACGATAAATAAAGGACCTTCATCATCAATTATTGGCGGCTGTAACGGTAATAAGGGACTATCAATACCACGAATGCTTACTTTACAAGCGTTGCACCTTCTCCATAGATACAATGAAGAAGAGACAAAAAAAATTTTTTTTTCTTATACTGAAGTAACATAAATAATTTCACTTAACCAGACAATAATAGGAACCGACCAATGTGAAGTATTTGTTATCATGATCATATCATGATTTAAATCACAAAATATTTGGTTGTCTCAAGGGTATACTTGGGACAAAATAACAATTTCAGGATATGGTAACGACAACAACATCTGGAAAAAGTTAACCCGATCACAAATGTTAGGAATAGCAAGAAAATTCAGGTGATGAAATTGATCATAGTTTTGTAAGTATATTTCCAAGTTTAAGAATGAGCTCGGGTAACAACATGGCACAAAGAGTTTGTGAATTAAGTCGGAACCCTCATTAACAATTCAATCAATGTGCTGACATCTATTAGAAAGAGAAGCTGCACTTGGGCTTAATTTGATCGATCGCCTAGCTGTATGTGTTAGTGTGATTATCAAGTTACAATAAAATTACCATAGACAATCAGATTGAGTAATTGATGTCACTAATGCAAAGAAAATCGACATCTGTCAATATGGTGAGAGGTCTTAGCTAGTACAAGTTTGGATGTTTATGCAGATAGTTTCTAAATTTGTCGAGTTAAAACTTCACTAACTATATTATTAATATCAAATTAATATCGGCATTTAGTTTTTGATAGAAGGTCTTATTGGTTAAGATAAAATCGTCACGTCCGATACCAAATGCATTACACTCATTATTTTTTTTTAGATTTTTGATTTTATTGATAGAACTTCTTTTAAACAATAAATAATTCTTGATTATATATGTAATTATTTATATATACAAAGATAAATAAAAATGATGATAGTAAAAGTAAATAATTATGTATGTGAATGAAAAATGATTGATTGATATATTGATTGATTGATTGATATTATAATTAATAATATATAAAAAATTACATAACATATATATATATATATCATATAATCTCTTTAATAACTAAATTAAAAAAATTAAAAAAAATCATCTAAATTATATTAAATTTGCGGTTTTTTAATGATATTTATGATAAAGTAGTTTCAACTATGATATGGGTGACACGATAAGGATCAATATTTGAAGCTGGACGACGATCTTCCATGTAACCATAACCTTGAGCAGCAACATGTCTAGGAATACGAATGGAGGCACCACGATTAGCAACACCAGATGAGAATTGTGATATATGACCAGTTTCATGAGCACCAGTTAAACGTAGTTCATTATCTTCCCCATAAACAGCTATATGTTCATTATGACGTAAAGACAATTTTTCTATAGCATCGTTGATTGCTTCTATGCCACCCTCACTTCTCATTGCCTCAGTTGAATAGTTGGTGTGACAACCAGCACCATTCCAATCACCCTTTATTGGTTTAGGATGGAATGATACAACTATACCAAAATCTTCGGAAACACGATTCAACAAATATCTTGCCATCCATAAATGATCACCCATATCAATTCCTTCACATGGTCCAACTTGAAATTCCCATTGACCTGAGATAATAATAATGAAGAAAAATGAGATGATGAGAAGATGGTCATTGTTATGATAAATGAATGAATATATTATATAATCAATTAATCAATCAATTAATATTTACCAGGCATGACTTCGGCATTTACACCAGAGATGTTGACACCGGCATAAAGACAAGCACGATAATGAGCTTCGACAATATCACGACCAAAAGCGTTATTAGCACCAACGGAACAGTAGTAAGGACCTTGAGGACCGGGGTAACCACCTTTTGGCCAACCAAGAACTTGACCATCTAAATCGAGCAAGGTATATTCTTGTTCAATACCAAACCAAGCATGAGCGTCGGCATGAGTTTCCATGATTTTAGCACAATTGTGACGATAGTTAGTTTTGTTTGGAGTTCCATCGCTATTGTAGCATTCAGCCAACACCAAGATGTTATCACCACCGCGGAAAGGATCTTTGAAGATGGCAACTGGTCTCAACAAAACATCAGAGTCGTGACCTGGAGCTTGATTTGTTGAACTACCGTCGAAATTCCATTCTTTAAGTTCAGAAACGTCGGTTGGTTTGGAATCAAGAGTTGTGGTTTTTGAACGTATACCACTGTTACCATCAATCCAAATATATTCAGCTTGGATTTTATCGCCTTGGTCGAGTGAAAGGTATTTAGCAAGAGTTTGGGTATTTGATTTATTAGAAAAAACAGTAGTCATGATTATTAAATTTTTTTATTTGTTGAAGTGAAAAATATAATATTTTTTTTTTTTTTTTAATAAAAGAATTTGATTTGATTTTTTTTTTTAAAAAATAGAAATTTTCAAGCTTGCTTATTTATAATCAAAAAAATCAAAAATTAAAAAGTCTAGTCTTCTAATCTAATAATAAACAACTAACAATATAAACTAATAATATCATATCTGCCGAATGATAACTATCCAATTGGATCATTAGGAATTATCTCCAAATTCAATTCACGTATTGAGAGAATGTGAAAAATAGACAATATTTAATTTTTTTTCATTTTTTTCAGTAAACAAACAAACAATTATGTAAAATTCAATTTTTTTTGTCAAACAATTGATAACTCTTTTTTACTTTTTTGGAAAGCTTATCTATATATATAAAATTAATTAATTAAATTAATCATTTCAATTAGACTTTTAATGTTTATTAAATTAAACTTTTGATTTAAACCTTTGATTGACGTTCGATTAAACTTTCGATTAACTATCAATATAAAGTTAAACCCGACATATGCCAACGACGATATCTTCTAATTGCAATAAAATTTGTATAAGTTACGTGAATATGTAAAAGTTTTATATAAAAGTTTTTATAACTTGACGACTGACCATGAAACAGTAGTTTTGGCCATAAAAAATGAAATAAAGAATAAAATAAAGAGAAAAGATCAGACCACAAAAAATTTTTTTGATTAAATTGGTTATTCAAAGAAAATTAGGGTTTAAAAATTTATTAAAATAGATAATCAAATCAACAAAAACAATCATCATCATCATCGAAGTAATTTTTAAAGTTTTACAAATAAACAAAATAATTAAATCAAAGATAAAAAAAATAAATAATAAATAGAAATAAGAAACTAAAATAAAATAAAATGACATTATATGCAAATAAATCATAGCACAAAGAGATAATCATGCATATATATATAAACAAACAGTAAACAAATTAACAAATTAATCAACAGATTTAATCTCAATAAAATGGTGAAAGGACGGATTAAAGAAGGAAGAGATACGAAGGACGGACCACACCGATTAATATCATATATTATAGCTTGATTTTTTGATTTATAGATTAGAAGTAAGCGCAGGCAGGGTTTTAGGATGAGATAAATTTTACGTGGAATTAAATGCAAATGCATAATCAAGTATATATTAATATTAACACATATATAATTAAAGTGAATAATTTTTAATAACTTGCTTGTACTTAACAACTGGCAATTTTATTCATTTCAAAATAATAAAATTTACCGTAATTAGAAACCTGTGTAATTCTTGTTTTTATTCTAACAGTATTTTTACTATTACTAAAATATATTCTTTCTAAATAGCATCTTTTTGAATTTCCATACTAATCAATAAAATGGATCATTCCGAATTATTATTTATTATTATTATTTATTATATATATATAATATATATGTGTGTGTGTGTGTGTATGTCTATAATCACAATAAAACATTTTTGCTACGTGCACAATCTTTTCCTATCAAAAATAGTAATAATATGGAAGATAGAATGGAATTAAAAATAATTTTTTTTGTGCGTCATCATGTGGTTGCTTTTATAATATTAAATACTAAAACAGATAACTAATATTCGGATTATTATTTTTTTTTTCAAGTTCTTTTTTGTATTTTGTATGGATTTAGAAAAATATAATTAAATTATCTTAAATATTAAATTGCTTTGGATGGTTTCTCCTGATCTGTTTTGTTGTGAAGACGTATTTATTTCAATTTTTATAAAAATTATTAATGTTTTACAAGTAATCCTTATATACCATATATAAACAAGTTTTTAGTAAAAATCACAAATTTTATTCTTGGAATTTTAATAATTAAATCAATTCATTTATTTTATTAACTGATAAGATTGATTTAAAAAATCATCCGTTATATCAGGACCCCGCAAGCTATATAGATAGGTAACATTTCACCATTAGAAATGCAGTGAAAATTACCAAATTTGGAAGATTGTCTCAATAAGCCAATCACAGCGTGGGTCAAACCCCGTGATTTTTGTATGTAACCTATCTATACGTATTAATATTAATTTGTTGCGGGATTTTGAATATAACATAATAAACTTGCGCGAGCCTCAATTACTCCATCAAGATATAAAGTCTTAACTTTGTAGAACAAAAGCTACTTTGATTTGCTAGTTTTTTCCAGTAAATATTCTTATTCTAATGATCTTTTCCCATTTCAGAAAAAATTGCTATACAAAAGATTTTATGCTTGGGCTAGATATTTCATTTCATCTTCTGATTCAGGGATTATTGACATAAGGACCATTTGAGCTACGCCAATCCTTTGGTAAGCAGCCCACCGTTCATATATTAATTAAAAATCAGAAACCCCTTTCCTAAACCGCCCTGCCTTTAATAAATTTCCTCTGCCCATTTCCTACTACCCACCACCACTCTTCAAAAGATAAACCTCATATTTGAGATTGATGATCCTTGAAACAGGGTTTCCTTTTCGGAGAAATAAAAAATCCGCCCGCACTGTGCATTTAAAATATTAAATCGAACCGTCGAAAAATTTCCAAAGATGATGGCACTCAAACAATATGTCCTTTGATGAAGATTTTAAAGGTTGGCATGCAGAGGATAATGGTGTGAATGCCCAAGAAATTTTTTCAATTTAATAATACACTTCCCTATGAAATATAGTTCCGAAAACAGGAATTGTACTATTAGTATGTTTTCGTACAGGTTTTTTATAGGGAAGAAGTATTGCAAGACTGGATGATACAGCGGCTGCTGTTATAAGACTCAAACTTTGTTTTGATTTATATTGATTTCTAATATTTGTCTAACACTAATTAAAAATACAACAGACCTTGAGAATATAATAACAAATGATGTCAAAACTATTCTTAGACACGAATTAGTATCTGATTGTTGTTGGTCATTTCGTACGATGATGATGACCTTTAAAATTATAGAACTCATGAACTACATTTTAAAATTTTAACTCCATTAATTGATAAATTAGTTCATCTTTACCGAAAAAAACATTATGGTTACCATATTTTTCTGTTTTTATATATATACTGGCAAATAAACAGAAAACATGTCAATACGAAAAAATATATATAAATTACATACTAATACTAATACGTTTTCTATATTAATATTAATGTTTTCAGTACGAAATCAGTATTAGTATATTTTCTGGAAAAATCACAAAATATTTTCTATCATACTACATGTAAATATTGTATGAAAGCATTACACGATGTCTGAATTTATTGAGGATTTGGTAATTTTTTAATCATTCTTGCTCACCAAGGAACTTTCCCATTTACCATGAAATATGCTGATTAGGCTGCTAATAATTGAACTACGTAACACATATACGAATATGGTCGTTGCGCCCTCGAAAAAACAGCACTCGAGATAGTTTGCTTGCTCTCAGTGATACCATGCGGAAAAAAACTTGTCGAGCAAATGAATTCCTTTTTTGACAAATCCTAGATGATCAAGTAACACTACATTGACACACCACATTAGAACGCATATCATTACTTAAAATGACGAAATAGGAATTCCTGGTTCGCCTTTTGACTTCGCTTTTAAATCTCTATCCGTATGAAACTTGTAATAACGTGATGATCAGCGGATAATTAAAAGAAAATGTAACGATGTGCAAAAAATAAGGTTTTGTCACTGCAGATTTGAAACAAAGAAAGAATGAACCGTATTAAAGTATATATTAAATACGCTTTCTTGAATTTTTAGAAATTAACTTTTATTTTTTATTATTTTTATTATTATTATCGTTTAAAAGGGTTTGTTGATCAATAACACCGCAACATTAACTACAACAACTTCATCGGTATGTGTTATTATTTTGTAATACTAAATTTTTATCATGTGTTATTTCGTAATCGGATAGAATGAGAACAGCTTTGGTTTTAACATTTATATCGATTCCAACAAATTAACATTGTCAATAACTTTTAATCTTTGGTCAAATTTTTTTTATTTAACATTTGATACTTGATTCTGAAAGATTACGATTTTTGGAGGCTCAAATATTATTATCATTTTGGTTGTCCTCGATCCCCTGATGCAATGGCTTGTAAGCCCTGAAAAGTAATCACGAAATGTACCATCTACTTCTTCGTACTCTTTTTAACCAGGGAAACGAGTAGGCGCCACCCACCGTCGATACCTTCCGTAGCAAGAACCTCTCCGAAAAAAGACCGTCCAAAAGGAAAATTCATGCTATCAGGGTAACATGAGAGAATATGCGCTGGGGTTCTTTTGGAGGATTCGAAATTATGTGTATCTTACTGTGAAGGTAATCCGGGTTGCCTTCACGGGAAAGATACACATGATTTCGAATATTCTTAAAAGAGCTCTTGCGCATATCACTTGCACAGGCGTGAAAGGACAGTTCTACTAAATCTGACACCCGAGTTCAATACGTTAGATTTAATATTATTCGCTTTATTTTCAGAAAATATTAAGGAATTCTGCAGCTTGCAATTGTATACAATCGGGAACCGGGAAACAACTTGTTCTCAATTTTTGGTTCCTTAAAATTTTCATTTCGCATGGCCCTAGTATTACTATTATTTGTTAATATTGCTTGGGCCATGCAATTATTTTATTTATATATTAAATTCAAAGAGAAGACTAAAAGAAAAGGCTGCAAATTGAAAATTTTTTGCGATTGGGATAAATGTTTACTACTTCTCAATCCAGTAGTTTGATATGAATTAATTAAGGAAACATGTTGGCAAAAGGAGAATTAACATACCTCAAGCTATTGGAAAGACAGTAGCAATGGAATTTTGTTGTAGACAAAGAATACCAGTAATAAAGATATCTCAGAATTTGAAAAGAAGGTTACTTTCCTTTGGGAAAACAAGTGACCCGCCAGCCGCAAGATAGACAGAATTGCAAATGCATTCTATGCCTTTAGAAAGAAATGTTTACCTACAAGAAA